TGCTAGTATCAACATTTGCTTTACTTCATACCCTACCGTCTATCATTTAGCAAATCCACTCCACTAAATCGTATATAAACAGCAAACAAATCGCTTTTATAAGAATGAGTAATAAAAAAAACTAGCATATTAGAAGCGGCTTCTTATGTAGGTATTAGCTAAGAAATTAACGGCCAGGGACTGTTTACAAACTCTTTACATTGGTTAGGTAGCGAAGTATACAGTTAACTCATGAATAACAAACTCGAAAGGGGAACTACGCAAGTGACCACAGGTCAATATTTGGCAAGTTATCCAACTAACGAACAGGTAAATCGGTTGCCCGTATCACTAGCTAGCCCGCGGCTAACAGCAGCCTACCGTCAGCAAGTAAACAGACAGTGCAATCGTCAGTCGCCAGTGCAATCGTCCAAAAGTTGGATGGTTATTTAAAATATTCTCAACGTTCATGGTGACCTGTTGTATCCAAAACGAACGTCTCTTACCTTTAATTGCGGGTTCACTCTTTAATCTTAGTTCGACTTTCCCATCCCAGGCCGTCCGGAAGCATCCGACACGGCGCGCGACGTTTAATCCTCAACGGACCAATTCGAAATGAAAACCTTCAAAGATCCCAACAGATGCGCTGAATGCACAAAATACTCTCCTTCATAAACCGCGTCGCTGTCAACAACCGATGTTTCAGAACGGTTTCCTTGATATGTTCGTCAAAAACGGTTTGTTTTCCTTAAAACGTCCAGCTACCCGAAGATTTACGAAACGCTGCGAGGCAGTCCACGATTCTAGCTCCGCTGAATGTTGGACGGAAACGACGCATTGAGAGACGGGTAGCGATTGGCTGTCGGAAACAGACGGAAATGAGGCATTGATAAACGAGTAGCAATTGGTTGTTTAACGTGGACGGAAATTAGGGTGTGAAACTTAAGCAGGGATTACCTGCGAGGTGGAACTGTGTTACGGTCTGTGATTGTGCGAATCTGTCGCCATAGTGGATCGTGAAGAAACTCATTCATTAGAGAGATTAAATGCTGGTATCAAAGAACTGTACATTGAAAGATTGACGTCTCGTCCTGCCTGTTTCCTGCCTTCTGGTTTCTGGGATATGCTCCACGTTCATCGAGACCTGGATATAGGCGGCTGGAAGATAGTTGAATGGATTGTGGGGGATATTATGGTTGCCCCCCCCCCCTTATATATATATATGGTATACCATATATGTGTGTGCGCGAGAGAGAGAGAGTATTCACCTGGCTTTGGTCGATTAAAGGAATGTTTACTTCAAAGTTATGCTCTGTTTTCCCGAATGAGATGTAAGCTTTGGAAATGGCGCACTCTGCTGTTGATATTGTGTCATTGCAAACTTGGTGCATTTCAGCATCGAACTGTCATTATTTCAGTAGTTCAAAGTTGGTAAGTCACTGCTGCCCCTGAAAGAAATCATAACGAGCACATAAACTGGACAGTAATATGTGTTTTATTAACCTGTAAATTCAGAATAATTAACTATCAACCTAAGTTTTAGGGCTATGTCTAATCCTTCATCATTAGTTGTTGGTTATGTTAAATGTTATAGAGTGCTTTTGCCTGTTTTATGGTGTTAAGAATACACTTTATTTGTCCAATTAATACTTTGTTGATCCCTGTGGGGAAATACTCTTTACACCTTTACAACCCTCTGAGCCACATGCTGCCCCCCCCCTAACCGCACATAGTTTTCTTGAAATCATATTAGAAATTATATTGCACTGACTAATACAGTTTACTGGAGTAAAAGTATTTAGATTGGTTCAAAACAACAAATTCTTAACTTTGCTGCATTGCATTTTACTTCCCTTATCTGTTGTAATCAGAGATAGGACAATTGTTATTGAAGTCCTGTATTTAACACTTGAGCTCTATAGCTTATTGATTCTGTATAAAAATACATTAAAAGTTATACCAATGCTAGTTTCAAAATTCTTAACATTCAGCTGATTCTGACAAGATTCTGTTGAAGTGTTAAACCACTTGTAGTGTGTAATTACAGAGTTCATTAAGCACTAAGTCTCTGGGGGACAAGTAATTGTTCACAACTGGGGCTAATTAGACCCATCATGGAAGTTGCTAAAGTGGGTAATTGTCAGTGAATTTTAACTAAGATGCAAGACAAGTACAGGAATGAGGCCACATATTTATACATAGTAAAGTGTGTAATTTTGAGACAAAATGGAAGTTTCACACTTCAAGTTCAAAGCTTTTAAAGGGTTATACAATGAGTTTGCTTGCAAAGAAATCTATATGGGGCTCATTTCCTCATTTGAGCATCTATAAATCACTGAAGCGTAATTCTGATCATCATTTATGATGGTCTCTTTTCTGATAGTTAATTAAAATATTGACATTGGCCTTAACACTTAGGCTGTCATAATGATCAGAGTAATGAAGACCATTAGGCATTCATTTGTGTATAGTCATATGTTGCTTTTGGGCTTTACATTTATTTGGTACATGTCTATCCATACAATTGAGAAAGCAGGGTGAAACCTGGAAGAATTGGGATTGAGGGCCCACCAGTGAAGTCGCCTTATTGGCCACAGTATTTAAATGAGCAACTTTTGGATTACAGATACAGTAATCTAACCTACTGAGCCACACTAGAGTCTCTGAATGGAGTTTCTGCAGTCATTCATGTGATCAATTATTTTAAGCCAGCCACTGAAGAAGAAACATTCTGACAATATTATCAACATGTGCAAATTTACAGTCTCCTGTGGTAGTGTTGCACCAGTCAGATTTAAAAATTACATAAACTTCTGCCAAACAGAATTGTCCTGAGAGGTTAGCTTGCTGAAAATAAACTGCCATAAAGGAGAGTGCACATCCCTTAAAAGTGACCATGATAAATGGTTGGAAGAAGGATGGATAGAATGGAAATGAACAAATGACACAGGCGCTACATCCCAGGTGTCAGACTCCAGTCCTGGGGGGCCGGAGCCCTGCACATTTTTGGGTTTACCCTCGTTTAACACACCTGATTCAACTTCTTGTGCTAATTACCACATAGCAGTTGAGCTGAATCATTTGGGGTGGAACAGGGAAAGAACTAAGCTACACAGGGCTCCGGCCCTCCAGGACTGCAGTTTGACACCCCTGTGCTACATCGTGGGGTTCCAAAGGAGGCAGTGACTACAGCCAGAAAGCATGTTTTTTTCAATGTGATAAATGAGTAAAATGCAAAGTGTTTTTCTCTATCATTGATCATTTTTTCACCCCCAATCAGTGATGGATATCTGCTGTGATTTTTCTTCTTTTGGCATTTTTCCTATTGCAGTGTTTTCAGCACAATGTTTACCACAAATGAAAGAGAGTGCATATTGCCCCAGTGTTGAATGGCTGTGTAATTCTGGATTGATCTGCCAGTGCTGACCTCTTCTGGACAACCTTAGTTCAGCTGCACATAGTGGAGAGGTTCTTTTTTTATGAACCAGAATTATAGAACTCAGTTCTGTCATACAGTCACCCTGTGTATGTAGTTTTAAAACTGTTGCTCCTTTAAGGCAGGCAAAAGGCAGACGGACAATACAAGGACTAATAACAACAACCAGAAACAGCTGATCACACGGGGATTCCACACGGGGTTAACGAGGGCGCGTGGCACAGGGAAGGAGCGGACGATCGGGGCATGATACATTGTTTCTTTTAACTTTACACATTGTTTGGATACATTTATTTTCTTGCTTAAATTACTGTTTTGATAAATGTGCTTAGATGTCTTCAGTACAGTATATGCTTTTCTTGTTATGTCCGGTTCATTTTGTGTTTAAATGCTAAAAAAAGAAAAAACATATTTCGGTGTATTTTTTTGGGGCCGGGAACCAATTAATTGGTTTTCCATTATTTCTTATGGGGAAAATTCGATCAGAACGCGAACTCTTTAGGATTCGGTCCGGAGTTCTGAAAGGAGTAATTTCGAGTTCTGAGGAACCACTGTATTATGTATATACGCTTCGTCTGCCTAGCGTCACGTAATCACAACTGAGCCGATGGTTCTCTCGCTGCGGGGTTGTGGGTATTCATTTCCCATTCAGGTCTCAGTCGGCGTGCCTCACTCGTATAGTCAAAATTTAGTAGAAAAGCGCCACCCGAATAAGGGCGTAGCTGTGCAAGCGATGAATCTGTTTAACGACAATGCAATGTCGTTAAACGAGGAGACAAAGGAAAAGGAGGCAAAAGCGGATGTCATTGGATAGGTTCCTTGTTAAAGTCGCACAAAAAGAAAAAGATTCCAGTGAGCCAACAGATAGCAGTGATTACGTTAGTTAAAGTGAAAGTCGTCCTACAAAAATAACCCTCCTCTTCTCTCTCTCGTCTCGCTCACATCATCCACGATTATTTTCAAAGGTAAGGTGCAGGTTAATTTGTTTATGTATTTTTACTTTATATTTTGTATTGATAATTTTTATACGAATATTTTTGGGCTGTGGAACGAATCATCTGATTTTCCATTATTTCTAATGGGAAAATTGGCTTTGATATACGAGTGCTTTGGATTACAAGCACGTTTCCGGAACGAATTATGCTCGCAAACTAAGGTACCACTGTAATTACATTCTTTTGGGGGTGTGGTTTGAGTCATGTCATTATATGGAATATTACTGTAAATGTTATTTTGATATTCACATTATATTTTCCTTATTAAGCCATAATTCATTATTTCATATAAAACGTATATTAATATGTATAAATTATTTTTTATATTTAAATCCAAGCAGTCATTACATTCATCCAGTTTCTATTCTATTCTCCATGGCCATCAGACCAGTGAACAAGGCACATTCAGCTGATTCAGCTCAATGATAATAGGTACGTTAGCATCATCGCGAATCGGCCGCCATATTGGGTCCAATAGCGCGTTCGGGATTTTTCCGCCCTGGCAGGAGTATGCCTATTAAGATCTCCATTTATGGGCAAACGGATGGAAATTCCCGGGTATCCTTTTGATGATGTAGATACAAGATACCCAGAATTCCCCTTGTTCACCAATTTTTCGATTTCCAATTTTTAGGATCGCGGCTTAATCGTGTGGAGTTTTGTGTTCACAAAAACATCCTTCAATTTAATAGAAGGTAGGTAGGAATTCAAATAAATTATGTATAGACTACAAAATTAGATATTCAAGATCAAATTTAGAAAGTTTTGTGAGGTGTGGAACGTCAGCATCTGTTTTCTAGCGTCAGCAAAAAAACGTGTCTGTACTGAAAATTTCAAAAAGTTACAGCATTTTAATGCAATGAAAACCAGGTTTTCGGTAATAGGTTTTTCTTTATTTCTATTGAAAACAAAGGACGTTAATTACCCCGCATTCAAAGATTTTGAAATGTAATAACTTTTTTCAACCTATTATATGGATCTTGGTGTCATTGGAAAGATTATTTCAAGATCTATCATGATAAATAATCCATTTTACAATAATAACATTTTGAAATTTTTGCTAACATACCTAATGATAAAATAAATAAATTTTCCTAAGAGACTTTCCAAGCTATTGCTCATGCCATTACCACATTTTTTGTCCAAAGAAAACTTTCTTCTCTGGTGAAATTGTTAATTCCTTTATTCAAAGTTGTGCTGAAATTGGTCCAATGTTATATGACTGCATCTACGTTAAGTTTTACTGGGACAGCAGTTCAATGGCTGGGCGGATGAGAAAATGAATACCTCTCAAAATGTATCGAGAGACCCTATGCCTTATGTTGTGGAATAATCTTTACCGTCTGCTGCCTGTGTCAAAAATTCTTGTGTCAGTGCTGTCTGCAGCCTGTATTAGTCCTGCTTAAAGGGGCCTTATTTTTGAAAACTGGTGCTCATTTATCTAACTAGGCCATAGAGGTGGGTGATAAATCGATTTTATCGATTAATTCCAATTTACAGTTCAGGACGATGTGTTTTTATGAAAATCGATTTTATTACTTATTTTACACGCGAGCGCCAAAAGCGGAACTAATGCGACGCACCGTTCTTCACGGGTACATTAGCGCGGCGCACCCAAACACTGTAGCGGATTCACAAACAACATGGCAATGATTCGATTTTGCGCCCTACAAAAACAAGTCCTCTTTACAAAGTCTGTTTAAAAACTGTTGCAACCAAAGGAAGCAGCACGACAAATTTATTCCAGCATCTAAAGCAGAGGCACACAGCGGAGTGGGAGAAGTGCAGCTCCCAGCGAAATGAAAATATACACAGCACCAGCACAACATCCAAAGTTAAGCAAGCAACTGTCCCTGACACGTTTTCGAACTGTGTGCCATATGATAATAATGGGGCACGGTGGAAGGCGATAACAAACGCTGTCGCGATGTATATTACAAAAGACATGATGCCCATACATACTTTGGAAAAGCCGGGATTCATTAACATGCTAAAAGTTTTTACAAGTTTCTAAAAGTGTTTACAATGGCGTGGTCTGCCATCTCACTTACAAGCATCTTTTTTGGCTTGTCAGATTGCACTTTAACTCTAAAATAATAAATAAATAAAATTAAAACTTTATTTGTCATCTGTAGTTTGATTTTGAGTAGGGGAGGGGATAATCGATTAAAATCGAAAATCGGATTTATTGTGAAAAAAATCGGAGATTTTATTTTTAGGCCATATTCAATATTGCCCAACTCTACTAGCCAATAACAAGAACAAGTCATAAGGGTTAATTTAAAAATAACCATAAGAGGGCAGTAAAACACCATAAATAATATTAGTTCGGCAGGACCCATATTTACACAAGTCATCATTCCTGCTTTACCATACTCAAAATCTATCCAGTAGTTTCCTTTTTACTTCAAAAATCATCATCTCTGTGACCAAGGTGCTATTGTATGTTTTTACAATCTTATTGGTGGTATGTGATTTTTACATTTGTAGAGATTTTTCAGTATTATAAGCTGGTCTTTATGAGGCGGGCGGAGTGGTGGCTCTGTGGCTAGGGATCTGTCCCAGCAGTGGTCCCACTCTTTTGGGCCCTTGAGGAAGGCTCTTAACCTGCAATTGCTTCGTCCTGGGTATGACGATAATCTACATCCAGGGCTGTAAGGAGATCCTCCAATTTACAGGGAAATTTGGGGGCTGGTAGCAGGATTGGCACTCCAGCCACCAGAAAAAGTCACACTGGTCAATTTGGACTAGTGTGGTGCTGAGGTATCACCCACTGTGGGGCTGCACTCAGGTTCTCATCCCTGAGGTGGTTAGTCATGTGGTGGGTGCGACAATGCGCTGTAATCAGTGCGCTCCCCCTTACCTACCTTTATGAAGTGGGAAACCATTTTCTGTTTAACCACACTGGTTATCTCTCTTTTTTTATTACCTCTGAGAAACTGCTTGGCGACTACTTCTTAAAATGTGATGAATAATGTAAAATTATTGAATTCATTCTGACAATAAAATGTAATTTTTCCCTCCTTCTCTTTAAGATACTCCATACTTTCTTACTCTCACTCATCAAGTAAAATTACAATATATTCTTCAAAATACAATTTTCAGTAATAGTATTTCTGCCATTTTTGTATTGCTTTCCATTCATTTTTGTGTTGTGTACATTTAAAATTAATGGATTAAAATTCATGTTCATCAGGAAAACAAACTATTTACTGATTAGTATCAACAATAAAAAATTTGGGGTATGTTCTCTATCAAATTCATATTTGTGTTGCTTTAATTCTGTTAGAGAATTTAGAGGTTGTGCTTATCAGGGTTGCTATGTAAATCACAAGATCCTGGTGCTGTGACAATGATCTCTATCCCCCAATGTTATCGTTATGGTGCTCAGCACTGGGAAGAATACCTCCTCTGTTAACTGAACCTTCTGGTACCCTAGTAAAAGCTGAACCCTGCTTTGGAAAACACCAATAGTACTGTAGCTCAGAAGGACATAAAGCTGCAGGATTAAATTTTGCATCAAAATCCACAACGCAACACCACTGGAAAAAGTAATTAAGTAGTACTAAACCTATTTCACTTATCTTTTCTGAACTGAGAGTGGGTGCAAGTAAAAAATGTTTCTAAAAGAAGATTGTAATTTGTAATTGACTATTCTCAATAAATGGATGATTGAGCTGCACCTATATTTAAACTATGAGGCTTTTAAAATCACTTGATATAATTTAGGTTGTCCCTGCGATCTAACACTGTAGAGTCATATGCTGCTGGGAATAAGGGGTCCATTTCCCTTCCTTCTATTGTGCCACTGCATTAGATGAGCTAGCTAGTGCTAGCACAATAGTGCTGCATGCTAGAACTACTGGAAGTAGTTACAATGAGCATCTATAAACTATTTGTCTTTATTAAACTAAATTCAAGCATTACATACACATCGGATCCATACATGGGCTCATACCTCATTAACTCTTTGCTGTGGGACATGTAAGATTCAAAATTATGTGGTAATTCTAATTATGGTGAGTCAGCCCCAACTAGCTTTGCCCAATCACACCCACTCCGCTCAGAGGCAAGTTGTGATGTGAGGACATCTAGTCTAATTTCCTTCATCTGCTGTCACAGACGACGAAGGGCAGGGCCAGAGAGCTCCGCCCATGTGGCCCGCTCCTGCTACAGCAGCCTGTCAGCCCACATATGCTCATGTGCTGCTGAGAAGACACAGGGGCAAGACCCAGGGCTGCTTTGACATCCCGAGTCTTTTAACCGTCACTCCTAACCAGCCTGCATGATAGCAGATGCCTGCTGTAACGCTCGCTCTCTTGCAACCCTCATTATTGCAGAAACTGTTCCAGGCGTTAAGAGTATCTATCATATCTGCCCATCCATCTTCCATGCCTCTTATCCAGTACGGGGTCTTGGTGAGCCTTGACTCTTTAGTCCTTAGATCTTAGTCCTGAGTCTTTAGTCCTTAGAGTTTTGTTTTGAGTCTTTAGCCCTTAGCCCTTAGCTCTTGCAGTGATGGCAGAATGTCAGCCGAAGTATAAACATAATTTTTCTCCTCCACAACCACAGGCTATCACTGCCATTGAAGGCAGCAAGTTCTGCTAGTTTGTCATTGAACTGCAGCTCCTTCATTATTTAAGCTAATGGCTTTTGTGCTCATTGTATCTTGCCTGGATGTTAATGACATTTCAGACTTACTCAGCCCCCAGAAACTCCGAGGCTCTGCTCAACCCAACATTCTACATCCTTATCGACCCACACTTTTAATTGTAATTGATTATTCATCTTACACTGCACTCTCATGCATGCACACACAAGCATACAAACCCACATTCACAGTTGGGTATGCGTGGAGACTTTTCATTGTACTGCAGCCCCAAACCAGTAAAAGATAAATAAAATAGATGAAAACTGACAGGTCACTTTTTGGCAAGGTCAGGTTTTGTCCAAACACGCAGACACACACGTGTTGGTGGACCTTAATTTCTATGGGAAAAAAACCCTGATCTCAATCATGAAGCCCTTAATCCCTACTCAGCCCTAACCTTGGCCATAAGTAACAAAACAAAATACAAGACTTTTGGTATTTTTACTTTTTTGATTGCTTTCACAGACTTTTATAAAATCAAGGTTATCCAAATGGGGACCTGCAAAATGTCCCCAAAAGTAAGAATGTTTCACGTTTTCTACACTTTGAGAACATTGTGGTCCCCATATGTGATGTACGCAAACCCCACAAAACCCCAGGAAACTGGTTCCTATAAGGTAAAAAAACAGGTATTCATCATTTGGTCCCCAAAAGTTAAGGGATATCTGAAACACACACAGACACAAACATAGGCGTAGATGTAGGGGGGACGGGGCCACATGTCCCCCCAATGTTGAGATGGGGGGGGGATCATCCCCCTCAATAGTATCCCATATAATGCCTGGTTTACAAAAAACACATGATTAATACAGATGCTCCTCTACTTACGAATGAGATACATTGCGAACTGCCGTTTGTAACTTAAAATGTTCGTAAGTCGTTATTCAACATCATTTAAAGGGTATACGCAAGTACAAAGAACTAGGATGCTGGGAGTACATACAGTATGTTGCTGTGCAGCGGGAGTAGCAGCCAGAAGATGTACTAGGTGGAATTGGCGCACAGAAGAAAAAATTGATGTTACGGACAGGAAACGGGAGCCCAATGAACACAATTTGGACTTACAGTTCTCTTTGTTCGTATGTCTGAAAGTTCACAAGTTGAAAGTTCGTAAGTAGAGGAGCATCTGTGTATCTCATTGCATACTTTAAAGTTTTTTTTTTTCTTCCAGTTTTTATTTGTAGACCCTTACCCTCCGTTAAAATGGCTTATTCTCCACTCTCACTGCCAGACCCGCGAGTAAAGAGCCGATTAACGGTGAGCGCAGAAGCACGGTACGGCTTAACTTATCATAACCAACAGTTCATCAATCAATGGCTATGTGAAATAGTGGAATTTAATCATCTCATGTGGATTAAGTTTCATAAGGATTATCTTATTTGATTGTGCAAACTGCACCTAGCTTGGATAGTTAGCCCCATAGCTCAAATAGCAACGCTGATATCGCAGCGGTACATAAGTGTTTGTGTCAGTCACAGTTCTCATGCCACTGTGTTTGCTGTTACCATGTAAGAATGAATAAGAAGCCGCTCAAAAAATGGGGCAGATGTGGCATTTATTTGGAAAACACCATAAAGTAAGTTACAGTTAGCAGCAACTTAGAATCATTTAGTTGGTGAATACCCCCGGCAGAAAGTCTCATTTATTGCTAAGAAGAGATTCAGTATATCTTCTAGTTTCTATTTTATGTGTGTTGTGTTTCTTTTCCGAAAAGTTAGGATTTGTTTGTGAGAGAGACAGGGAGCAGAAGAATGACAGGAGCATCATAATAGACCCTAAGGTGAGGTAACTTTTCCACTATGAATGGCCTGACATTGGTGGCGGAATCTCGCAAATTGTGCATAATATTTATAATTCCCGCATATACAGCATACATAATGTGGGACTTAATGCAGCTAAACTACCATTTTAGTGAAGATGAATAACAGTAAAATGGAAAGATAAATTTCACTTTATATATTGTAAGTATAATAACAATATTTTAGGGAGAAAAAAACTAACTGTATACAACGCGACTACAGAATTGACATGACGTCACACCTCTGACTCCGATATACCCCCCCATGTTAATATGAAACCTACACCCCTGCACATAGATACTTTTTCCAGTAACCTTGAAAATACTTCCCCTGTTACCTTCCTGCAAGATCACTTCATGTTTATAATTTATAAGTGGCATAGCATTTTTCCAAACTAGGCCTGGCCTCAAACATTTGGCCTTGACCAATGCAGTAGAGCAGGGTCTTCAATTGCACTACTGTATAGTCAGTCAATTAAAGCCAGCCATTTATTAATTTAACTTTAATAAAATATTTTTTTCTAATTAGGTAGCCATCTAATAATGACTACATTAATTAATTAATATTTCTGTAAAAATATCACAATATCTCACCAACACTTCCTATGACCGATATTTCTGTTAGAATCTATGAACATTCATGACACATTGTAATGCATTCATAAAGCATTAGAAACGTGGCTATATTTATAAAAAGGCATAACACATTATAGCCATGCTTATTATGCATTATAATGCTCTCATCTATAATGCACTCCTGCAAAAAGCATCCTCATTTCCTATACTGACCATTATAATACATTATGAAGGTATATATAGTGCATTATAGATGATAATTTCTAGTAAAGTGTTACCTGTCAGGATTGGTGCTTGTCCGACCCTGTCCTTTGTCTCTCTCCCTTGTTTGGCCAGCAGGTGTTGCTTGCCATTCTGTCTTCCTCCCTGTCATTCACCCTTCAGCCCTTATGTGCATTACCTGCACTCCACACCACTGCATAGCTCAGTGGGCTGAGCATGTAGCCCAGATTGAGAACCTGTTAGTCATGGGTTCAAAACTAGCCATGAACAGCCCTCATCTGTTTCGTTTCTTTTTTGCATTCCCTACTGTTATTGGTTATCATTGCTTTTTTGTTTTTGTGTTTCAGTTGGTTCCTTGTCTTTTGCTCCTTGTCCCCTGTTTGTTCAGTTTTCCTTGTTTTAGTTAACCCTTAGTGTCAATTTTCCCTAGTCTCCAGTACTCTTTAATTGTAATATGCCACACCTGTTCCTTGTTTGCCCTGAGTCCTGGTGACTGGTTATGATTCTCACATGTCCTGCATTGTCTTGTTAGCTGTGTATTTAAGTGTCTGTACTTGTTATGTTCTTTGAGGTTCATTGTAGTTGTATGCAGTTAGTTTATGTGTGTTTGTTGCTCAAGTCCTGGTGCTTAGTCCTGTTCCCTGTGTTTGCTCAGTTCCCCTGTGTATTTGATTTATGATTTCTTTGTTACATTCTCCCATTTCGTTTTGACCTCTTGTGGTCCTTTTATTTTGTGTCTTCCCCATGGTGTTCAGTTTTGCTTAATAAACCCCTCCTGTCTCAGAGCCACAAGTGGATCGCAACCCTCATTTCTGCCTGCACCATGCTCCCTGTCCATGACAGTTACCAATATCTTTTACATATATAAAAATCTCCTAAACAATATCTAACATATCAAACAATATGTCAGGACAAGCTTAAGGACAATTTAAGAAACCCTCTAGATGGGGATGTGTAGCTGAACTATTAAGGAGACCTGTAAATTTGAATTATAATTATGGGATTACAGTTGTATACCTATAATCCTGTGAAATAGGAGCATTTCATATGTCCAGTCATGTCAAAAGTATTATAACTTGGTTTTCTGCAATTAAAAGATTTTGTACCATGCAAATAAACATAACTAAATAAAATACACTGTGTTTATGCAGAAGAATGTTCTCCAGTAAACTCAATTTCATCTTCAGTTTGAAAACAAAATTAAAATGATGTGCCTTGTTCACCCACTAAATAGCTGTCTCTGCTCTCCCCCTCAGCACCCCCAGGGCTGCACATCACTGATTGGTCCATTTATCAAGAGTGCTCTGGTATTTGCAGTGGGGCCTCCATCTTCCAGAGATGATGGTGATAAATAGTGTCTCCAGCCCTAAACTTACAGGAGCCTGTCAATGTGGCCAAAACAGCTTCTGTCAGCTAGGCGGAAGGGTGGATGGGCTAGGTGAATTGGGGGGTGGGCTAATCAGGCAGGTGGGTGGGCTAGGTGGGCGGACTAAGCAGGCAAGTGGGTGTGGTAAACAGACAGGTGGGTGTGTTAGGTGAGTGGGCTAAGCAGACAGGTGGGTGGGCTGATGGGACAGGAAGGTGGGTGGGCTAAGCAGACAGGTGGGTGGGCTAGGTGGGCAGGCTAGGGAGGGACCAGCTAAGCAGGCAAGTAGGTGGGCGAGGGGGGTGAGCAGGCGGGTGAGGTGTGGGGAAGCTAAGCAGGAAAGTGGGTGTGGTAAGCAGACAGGTAGGTGTGTTAGGTGGATAGGCTAAACAGGCAGGTAGGTGTGCTGGGGGGTGGGTAGGTGAGTAGACTAGGGAGCAAGCTAAGCAGACAGGAGGGTGGGCTAAGCAGGCTGGTAGGTGGGCATGAAGGCTAGGGGGTTAGCAGACAGGCGGGTTGGGGGGGTGGCTATGGGATTGGGCAGGAAGATGGGCTAAGCAGGTGGGTGGGTTAGGCAGGTGGGCTAGGCAGACAGGTGGGCAGACATGCCAGGTGGGTAGTTGGGAAGGTTCCATGGGCAGGTGGGCAGCCTAGGTGGGTTGGCAGGCTGAGCATACATGTGAGAGGACTTGGCAGGTTCGTAGGTGGATTAGGCAAGCAGGCAGAAGGGGTGGACAGGTTTGCAGGGTACAGGTTTAAGTAACAGACTAAACAATTACGGCGCAAGGAATGCCAGGGAAAGTATTGCTCAGAATTCTTTGGGTATTGCACAGTGGGTACTGCATAGTGAACTAATGAATGTTCTATGAATCTGTATAAGCAGATCTGGTCCATTCAGAAAACTGGCCATCTCTCCTGCCATAGTGTGACTCGTACAGTCTAAGTTAGAAAAGTCCTTATGTAGTGTTTCTTGAAGCAGCGCAACTCAGTTTGTTGCTGAAAGAGCTCCTTTTTTTGGCCAAGACAATCTGCAGAAGGTGGGAATCATTGCATAGACAAACAGGCTTTGTTGTCCATGTATTGCTCATTTTTGGGGCATGTCACTGTTATCAGGAACTATAAGAAAGCATTTATATCTGAGCTATTCAAATCATGGTCCTTCAGGTTTGAGCACTGCTGATTTTTTTCTTTACCTGTAAGCCTGGTGTGAAGCCTCTGTAGCCAATCAGAATACGTAATTATTAAATTTACCTGGGAGAACTGAAAACACGGCCTGCATTTGAAATCAAGTTCCAGCTTTGAAGAGTCCTGATTTAGATTATACAGAAACAAAACGTATTAAGCTAAAACATATTCAGAGCATAAAACTGGAGGTCATGGAATGCCTGAGTACATGCTGCCTTTCTCTGAAGGGCAGCTTTAGCTCGGCCGAGGCACGTGTCATCTTCACAGAGCAGGGGTAAACGCAAAAGCCCTTGTTACCGTCCTCTGGGCGATGAGTGTGAGAATGCCGGCCGGGTGCTGAGACATGTTTCCGCTTGGAAGATCGGTGAAAGTCAGCCGGACGAATCGGCTCTGCCCAGAGGCCCTTCCCAAACAGGCCGCTCAACTGAACGGCTGACATTGACTGTAACACTTAGTGGCTGGGGAGAGGAAAGACAGATGTTCGGTGCTAGTGGTGTGGTGGAAAGCATTCGCTGTATTTGCGTGTCTGTGCGTGTGTGTGTGCGTAAGTGAGGTGGAAGGAAAAGAAGGGATAAATCAAAACAATTTGACTCATTATAATTCCTGTCACACCGTCTTATTGAAAAAGTATGTTTGCTTCCAATGGTGAGCATGATTTGTATGATGTGTGTTGTGTTGTAGGTCAAAAGATCTTCATTTTCTCCTTTCAGCAGAATAATAAGTGGCACTTTACTGAGTGACTGAATGGTGGGCTGTCATGAGTCTGCTGCCAGTCCTATTTTGCAGCCTTAAATCCCATAATGTCGGAAATACTACGGCTTCATCTGGACAGGCGAGTAAAGTAGATGCGTTAAAGGTTTCTGAAATGGCTAGATGTAGGATGAAAGGCGTGGAAACAAAATTCAAAGAAGGCTGACCACTCAATAGGGCTTGATTTACCTTTTGAGGGGCCCAAGGCAAAGCTTTACTTGAGAGTTCCCCCCACCAAGAAAACCGATGAAAACTACCTCTACAATGGAGATAATTTGGAAGCCCTTGGCCACTGCCAGTTCTGCCTATAGCTAGATCTAGCCATGTATATAATATATGTTTTTCACAACTTTGTTTGGCCCAATTACATGAAACATTAAAATGTAACCATACTATATGAGGTTTTTCTCTTTTTTCATATTTCACAATGGCAGTATAATTGAACCCTCTTACCAGCAACCGTGCAGCTTACTAACGGTATTTTCCAGCATGTTGGCTTGCATTGGCCGTCAGGGCCACAACACAATGATTCCTGGGCTCTTCTCTGTCCATTTTCATGGATTAATAAACGTCTGCTGTTTAATAATGAATTCTGTGGCCCATTTAAAAGGCGACATAATATACTGTGCCTCCCATTGGCCAGTCTGTTGACCAGCGTCAGACTTTGGACCTGATAATTCCTTTGTGAAATAACAAGGTTCCATATAAATGCCTTGTATTTCATGTGGTGTAAGTATGTGTCGCTTCTGAAGGCCCCAAGTGGAGTTCAGGACCAGGCGCACAGGGCAGTCTGGTACGGGCACCTGCAGGTCCAGGAATGTGGCCAAAAACTTTTGGTTGGGCGTGAGGGGGCAGAGCATCTGAGCGCAGCCATTAGTTTGCT